CTCCTGTCGTTAACGAAGAGGTCTAAAGCTGTTCCTGACAGACAGTAGAGTGCAACAAACTCAGCATTGGTAATTCATCAACAATATGGTAATCATACAGCAGAATCGTTAACTTTTTCCCCAAGAAAGGTTTTACCAATAGTGATGGCTTGTGAAGCTGTGCTAGTAGCATACTAAAATGCATTATATGTAGGAAAGCTGTGCGTAACAAATTTATAAATCAATTAAACAGTTCACCAAAAACTATGAAAGTTTGGTTTTGGTTTCGATTTTCGCGCAAAGCTACACGAGGGCTATCCGTGCTAGCCATCTCTAATTTAGCAGTGAAAGACTAGAGGGAAGGCAGCTAGTCGTCACCACCCAACTGCAACCCTCTTGGGCTACTCTTTTACCAACGAATAGTGGGATTGACCGTCACATTATAATGCATACACGGCTGAAACTATGAAAATATTGATCACACAACTTTAGATAGCACTGGTATTTGTAACGAGCTTGGTGATCCATTTGATGCACACTGTCAATAAGATCCTGTACATTTATCTCAAGCACTTGTGCACCATCATACTAGCCTGTCTTCTTTAATAAACCATTGTGTTACAACAGAAACTTTGTGCACTAAATGAAACAAAATTATTGCTATAAACAAGAAACAAACAGTCATGAATATTTCAGTTCTTGGACGATTTACTTAACTTTGATCAAGAGTGGACAGTGGAAGATAGTAACTTATGTAACAACTGTAACACTGCACTCGAGGTGCGCATCCAGCTTGGTAGTGCTCAATAGTTAATTGTATTTAAATTTGATGATTGGAAAAGTACAACAAGTAAGGTAAAGACTAGTATCAACTTTGTGCCGAGTAGTTCAATTAAGGTAGGTGAAAGTCTGTTTAAACTGAAATCAAGTGTGAACCAGAGGCAGAACAAGAAGGCTTGTGTTGGTTATATAAGTGTCATTTCAGTGAATGGAAAATGAATTTACTGTAATGATCAAACATTAACAACTGCATCTTGGCACAAAGGGGTAAATGATTTGTATTTGGTTTTTATTAGAGCACTTCTAGCATTGTGAATGAGTCATTATCAGTACCTGCACAATGTGCTAAATTGTGTGATGTAGAACTAACTGCCAGTGACAAAATATGCTTTAAAGAGGATTAGTAGCAACTTTGAAAAAGGTAATTTGCAGCATCAATTAACTGTGGAAAAGAAGGCACCCATACAATGAAAATTGGTTGAACTGTTTGTTAAGTCTCTTCCACCTATAAAGAAACTAGGAACGAAGGTAATACCTGGTGTTGTTACTTTTAAAGCAATGGGCTCTTTGGTTATGAAGCATAAAGGTAAACTTAAAGTGAAATAACTGATGACAAGTATTATCCTGTTGATGAGGAATGGCAGAAACAAGCTTGTAATTTACTAGGCCTGAGGTTTGTGCATCCATGTATCAGGTGGATCATTTGTCATTCTAACTCTATCAGATTCTCAATCTTTAAAGCACATTAGAGGTGATGGGAATTGCCTTTTTGAGCTATGTCTGTAATAGCATATGCAAGTAGAACACTGAACACTGCAGAAAGAAACTATACTACTACAGAGTTAGAATGTCCAGCTGGAGAAGAATTTAGTTATAACTGACGACATTGCCTTGAAATGGCTACAAGTGCTATATGATCAAGTGGATGAAATGCTTCGTGATGAGTTAATTGAAACATACACTTCTTCTTGGGCTTCTCCAGTAGTTATTGTTAAGAATAAGACCAATGATTTTAGTTTTTACATATAACAGCCTTCATAACCGATAATGGACTTTATCAATTTAAAGTGATGCCTTTTGGTCTTAAAAGTACACCTGCCAGGTTCCAGAGTTTTATGGTTAAGGGTTTAGCAGGAGCAACTGTATATTCCAAGGCCTATATTGATGATATTATAGTGTTTTCACCCACATTTGAACAACACTTGAAATACCTTGAATTGGTTTTGTACAAGTTTCATACAGCTAATCTTTCTGTAAAAGTTTCTAAAAGCAAATTTTGCCAACCAAAAGTATTGTATTTATGATTTAAAATTGCTTGTGAAGGAATATACGTAAATGATGATAAAGTGAAAGCTGCTAGACTTCGCAACTCCAAGAAATTGCAAAGAGTTAATTACATTTTGGGTATGTGTGCCTGGTAAAATCAGCTCATTCAGAACTTTGCTACAATTTCTGAACCTTTATATCAGTTACAAAGGAAGTGTATCAGGTGGAAATAGACCCTACAGTGTGCAGATGAATTTCGGAAATTATAGCAGAATTTATGTGATTCCCATGTCTTGTAACTTCCACGAAAAGATGAACAATATTTTTAAGATACTGATGCTTCAAATGTTGGATTAGAAACAGTTCTGTGTCAGAATGGTGTCATAGCATATGCCAGTAGAACACTGAACTCTGCATAAAGCAACTATACTACTACAGAGTTAGAATGTCCAGCTGTAGTCTGGGCTATAGAAAAATTTAAGATATACTTAGATGGAGAAGCATTTGCAGTTATAACTGACCACATTTCCTTAAAATGGCTACAACCAGCTCCAAAGTTAACTGGTAGGCTAATGCGATGATCATTAAAATTAGGTGTTTTTATTTGTCTGGTTCTATTTTTCCCGATTCGTTTATTTATTGAAATATTTATTAATCTGGATTTATATATTGTATTGTTCATTAACGTTAGTTTCAAGTCCTGGCTAGGCACATATTTCTTTACTGTGTTTTGGTAAGTTATCAACTTTGTATTTCAGTAGTTTGAATGTCACACTTAGGATTTCTGTAGTTGTCAAAGTACAATGAATTTGTTTTGTTGGTTCAACACTGATTGTAACGGCAAGTTACTTTAGACCATTACATGTCTTATATACTAACTGGCTCTGAAGAGCAGCATTTTGAAGTTAGAAGTGCAATAGCTACTCACATGGTAAGTATAACCGAATTAGTAAGTAGCACTGAGGTAACTCTTTTGGTCACTGTTTAGTCACAAATAGCTTTTTCTTGGTGTTGTTTTTGTTTTTACAGCCAAGCTGTTTTGGGTTTAAGTTGTTCTTTACCCGTACAAACAGTAGCAAATTTGTAAATACTTTGGATTTAAGTATATATTCTTACAACATAACATGGTATATCGATTTAAAAAAGGTAATCCAAGTACTGCAAATCCACGATAGCATCCAAAATTTGTTAGTCTTGGATGGACACAGCACAGATAGCCCATTGTTTAGTTTTGTGCTTCAGAAACAAACAAACAATGTTTCTAAAAAATACAAACTGTGGATGTTACTTCTCAATAAAAAGAAATATAAAACAAAGACTAGCACACATAACATCTGACATCAGGTATAAAATTATAATTGAAGTGATTACATGAGTACATAAACGAGATCAGTCTGTCAAAAAATAAAATATCTAAATAAAACAGCAACTGTAGGATGCCTCTAATGACTTTATTGTTTAGATAAGCAGAATCATATCAATGTCTAAAAGTGGCAGAATAAAAGATTACTTGTGTGTTTCAACCCCTCTGTGTCATGAAAACAAACGTCAACTGTTATTACTCTGGGACATGTTGAATGTTGTTTTTTTTTATTATTTTACCAGCTCGAAGAGGGATTATACATGCATCATATAACGACTGAGTTTTCCGAATTTTGCGTTTCAATAAGTATCAGAGAATTACTCCAAGCAATGATAAGAAACGGCCTTTCTTAAAGGCACTCTGCGCAAGTTTTCTAAAGCACTTTATGGCATTTGTATTTCAGACACAGGAGAATGATGGTGATAGAAATCATTCATAAACTTCCGATGATAATTCACCAGAACTCTATTTTAACGAATTACTAAACAATTGTAGGCTACAATATGTATAATCTTTAATATGTAAAGTAGGTTCACATGCTTTAATTATGTATTACCTTTAATGTAGGAATAAAATTTTCACCTTTTCGAAAATCATTCTTTTAAGAATTTCGTCGACACACACATAAACATTTGTATTATGAATACATTTCACCAATTCAATAGTAACATAGTTCGTAAAACAGGAATTGTTTAGACCATACAAGTAAAGAATGCTCACAGGTTTCAAAATTAACGAAACTGTATTTGGTAACAAAATATGAATATTAAACTACTTAAACCGTTTTAACTGAAATAGTGATCATAACTAATTTTGATTAAGCACAATGAAAAAGTTTCTTATTTCACACATCCACAGTCATACTATTTAAGCTTTAACTTGTTAGAGAAAAGCCCATAAGTTACATAGTGTTTCTCGTTTATATAAAGCTTGTAAGCATGTATAAATTGCCTTTACATTAAACTATTTGTTTTTGTATCTCTTATTATATGTGCAGTGAAAAACTTTAATACTCATGTGAAGTTAGTACAAAAGAAATTTTTTGAGGTATTCTTGATTGTATTTTATTAGGAATACGTAGGAGTTTACTAAAAGTTCTTTTCTTCTTATATTTGGATAAGTCATTCAAGCCCCCCAGTGGCACAGCGGTTTGTCTTCGGACTTACAACGCTAGAATCCGTGTTTCCATACCTGTGGTGGTCAGAGCACAGATAGCCCATTGTTTAGTTTTGTGCTTAATTAGAAAACAAACAAAGAAAAACAAGTGGTTCAAAAATCATTACAGTGCATACACTAGTAGAAGCAGTATTTCTGTGTTATAGTTGTTAGAACTCTTCAAATAAACTTTACAAAACGGATAATATCTAAGCTCATTATTACTGCTCATTCCTTTCTCTCATCTTTCGTATTATAGGCATACAAAAGCTTCAGTTTAGGAGTGGCATTTTGCATATGTTTAGGTAATTCATTACAATGTTTAGTTCAAAATAGTACTAAATAACAGAATTGTAATATCCAAAAGAAAAAAAAACAGTTACTGAGATGAATGGATGCTTTGTGACGTCACGTCTAAAGAGACGCGAAGATGGAGGTCTGCTACATGCTTCAGTGCAGAAAACTTGGACGAGTCGAGCTGTGATTTTGGCTGCAGGCCAGAGTACAATAAACTCGGTACCGGGGTAGGGAGAAGAACCATACTGCTACTTCACCATGTTTAGAGTTACTTCAAGAAAATTCGGGATTACTTCTTTTCACGGTGCTTCACTGTTGATTATAACGGCTTTTCTGTTGACGTTAGTAAAGTGGACTGTAGCATTTAACATAGATTTAGCAACAGTATTGATACATCATGCATCATCAAATACCCACTTTGGTTTCTCCGTCAGCTTACATAGAACCCAGGGTAAAAGTTGGTAAGTGGCCAGTTGAATTAGTAAACCAGTCAAGGTCTTTATTACTGAGATGTGAATAAATACATGTATATATATAATATTCAGTACAGTACTTCCTCAAACTAAATAAAAAAATTATAAGCATGATAATTTTAATTATTAATAAGTTATACATCACCTTACATAGAAATGAAGGTCAAATTTGATACATACATACTTTCAAAGTAGTGTTTCTTGAGGTTAGTCCGATATCGCAGAAGACTGCATTTATTTTTTTCAGAAGATACTTAATATATATTGAATAAAAAATAATGAACAAAATAGGTACAGTTTTGTACTACTTTATTATTATATTATATGACTGAGAGGACATAGTGTATTTTAGTTATGAAGTTGACACTTCCTATTCACACTAAAAAACCAAAAGCAGCTTTTAAAACATTATTTTAACGTCAAGAAATGGTGGTGTTATGTAACCAATGGCGTCGTGTCGATAGGCCACGGGTGTGAATATCCCTCTTCTCAATTACTTCCCATACACTATTCTAATAATTCCAAATCCATTGTATAAACATTTGATTAAATATGTTTAAAATATTTGTCTGTATTGGAAACCAATAAGTTGATCAAGGTAACAGCATAGATTTAATATGAAAGGTAAAAAGCACCCCACTTTTTATTGTTTGTATGATTGTTATTATTAATGCACCACTAATAACAAAGGTATTTTGTTTCCTGATTGCGCTCCCCCCAAAAAGAAATTAGGTCCATGACGTCACTGCATCTAACCATTGTATTCATTGGCAAAAGTGTTATTTTACTCAATGTAGACACCAAACTAACAGAAGCTACGAATGAGATATTACATTTTTATTTTGTTAAGTAGGCGTTAGTTACAGTTTGATCTATAGCTTTATAAAGTATTATTTTGATCATTAATTCGTTATTGAGGATTTGATTTCACTCCTTATAATATATATAAAACTGATGTGCTGAAATAAGTGCAAACAGCAGTAATATTTTATTCAACTTGGAAATATCGTTGCCATTATTGTTTTCAAGTAGTTTTTAACTTCGTGAAAATCAGATCTAGAAACTCTAGTAACATTTTTTACTTATCTTTATGGGAAATTCTATAGTGAATAACAACAATTCAGTATTAAATATTCATACTTCGCATAATGGACGTTCCTTTATATCGCAACTGTCACAGTTTGATATTCTTAGGGCTTGTAGTCATTTATTTGAAATAAATCTTTTTTGATTGCAAGTGTCCCGACTTTTGACCTGTTTTCGACTTACTGTCACTGCATACTTGGTTCTGCATATACAATGACGAAAATTGGCTGTATTCTTCATTATTCACTTATTATGTCTGAAGTTTAGTGAAGGTGATACATCTACGCCACATATACGACTAATTGGTTCGTGATTCTTTTGAAAAATGCGGCACAACTGAACTCAATTAACCGAAGACAATTAATTTAACGTGAAATAGTTGGTTACAGCTGGCACGAGTGAAACTTTCTAGATCGTGTAATACACGCTTAACCCTGATGATTTATTTTATGGGAGTCACAGTTTATCATTTTCGAAGGGAAATCAATACGTATACTTTCTTCTAGTTATAGCTTTATAGAAACATTTTGTTCATACTCAATATATTTCCGATATTTTAAGCCAGAAATAAATCTTATTAGTAAGATTTTAACCACATCACACATATATAATACTCTGTATGTAAATACATATTGCGCCAATGTTCATAGCCTTCGAAAAATTAAATATACTTAAAAAATAAATTTTTGATGATAAATTTTAATACTAATATCACTCGTTTCGCATAATTTAAAAATATTGTATCCAGCTGTGTTCAGAAGTTACAATTTTTGTTGTAAAAGGATTTAACCGATGTTTAAATGTTCGAGTTTGGTTACTGGTTTCTCACAATTATCCCTTACAGCAAAGTCACTATGATAATCATCGAAATAATTTGGAAGTGTAACGTTTTCATAATATGTTAACTTGTGCTTCCATTTTGAATGCATTACTTCGTGACTTGAAAAATTATCGGGGTTTCATAAAGTAAAACAACACAAGTAAGATGAATTATGAATAAAAATGAAATCATAAATGTCAACAAAAATACAATAAAATAATATAGATAGAGAAAATACAACTGGCCATTCCGGCATAGAACTATTGAATAAATAAGCTCTCTCTCTATTTAAGAAAATATCTTGGAATTTAGTAATACAACAAACTCATTTCAACTATATTTTTTGAATATATGCTTTATTCTGTGTGTAGCATATCTGTGCTCGAACTAATGAGAGTTTATGATATGTTTGAATGAGTACTAATTGTCATGGTTATTTACATCGAAGTGTACTTTAGTCATCACTTGCTATAAAAAAAAATACATTTTTTAGATATAGATGAATATGTTACACACTGTTATGAAAACAGTTACCAGTTATAATACATCGTCTTGATTTCTCCTTTTTTCGAACTTGCCAGTTTCTCCTTTATATCTTCCGAGTAACGTCAAAGGTCATCATACCATGACAACCACATCCCCCACCTCCGCTTTGGTTTCTTTTCTTTACAACCGTTAGTCGAAAAGCACGAGCATGGGACATAAAGAACTCCATTGTCTGATTGTATTAATGGAGATCGTAAAAGATTAGATTACGTACTAACAGAAGTTCTTTGTTCTTCATGCGCTGTGTAAGTCACAGCTTTGGACGCAAGATGGGAGCTTCTTACGGTTCTTTGAGAAATTCTATTTAAGTCAGTAATACTGCTCATTGTCAGGAAATAACCTTGATTTTAAAACTGTGTCGTAGGAATGAATGTCAAACGTTTGTTCAGCTCAGTTGTGGACAGATTTAGTATCGTTTAACCGTTGACAACAAATGAACTTTTTTATAAAAAAATATAACTTAACTAAACATATATTTTTCGGTTGCGCACACATTTCATATCTTGTTTGTTATATTATTTTGATGTGCATATATACGTACTGAGAAGTAATAGTTATTTTTACTACTATTTCAGGCTACTGATTGGTTCCCCCACAGCCAAGACAACTCAGCCTACTGTGACAAAAGGGGGAGCTGTGTACAAATGTGGTGTTGACAAGAGTAACAACTGTCACCAGATTACCTTTGATATCTCAGGTGAGTTTAACAACTACTGGGAATTAACATTGTAAAAATAGAATATTCATCACCCGCTATTGCAAAAAAATTGATAATGAATAGTCCATCTGCGTCCAAAACAAATAATCAGTCTAGTATCATAGGTTCTGTTGCTTTCCATAAAAATAATTATATAATCAGCTTTTAATAAGAGTTATCTTTTTGTTTTGGTATTTAATATAACCAATGTTGTATACAAAGCTCATTTGTCTCACTATTCTAGTCATTAACATAGTAATTAACCGAACAAAGCTTATAAAATAAAATTAATTAACTAAGGCATTCCTATTTCGCAGGGTCTATTATTTTAGAAGATACCAAACATAACGAAGGTAATGGAATTACATTTTGAATATGTCATTCTTTGATTCATTAAAACGACTTAGACCTTTACTCCAGTATTCAGATTTAAAAATAGTCTCCTAAAAGCAAGAAAATTTGAAATATTTCAAACAAAATATGATTAATATACTTATTCTATCATCATAAATACTAGAAACTTTGACTTTAGATAAACTTGATATAATATTTTTAATATTTTGCGACATGAGGCATTGACTCTAACACATTAGTTACATGACGTTTCTGGTTAGAAATAATATTTCAAGTGAATTAAATCCTGGAACTATGAAACATTAGATAATATAATTTTTGTGAAAGGTATTATTGTACATCATATGGAAATTTTGATATTTTAAGAACATTATTTCAAAAGAGTAAATTAACTACTCAAGTCGGCCGGTATAATTAAGGATAAGATGATGATAAGTTTCCGAGTCATTTGACACAGAATTTGGGGTTGAGAAGTCTTGCGCAACGTGTAAGATTGCCAAAAATATCTAAATAACATAATTAAATATATGAATTTGAAAGATTTTAAGCAATACTTAAATTCTTTGAAATATATGAAAGGTCTAGATTCAGGATGTTATCAATACAGGTAATATATATATTTCTGTTTTAATCCTGTTCAAATCCTGCGCTTCCTGCTCTTTCTAAACATACGAGTTGGAAGAACTGTTTCAATAATTGTTTTTGTTTGTTTATATTACCGTGTATATGAAGTAACTTAGATCATCAATGTTCAAGGTTTATGTTAATTTTGTATATAATTTACAAAAACTTTGAATCTATATGCGGTTTTGTGAGAGCAAATGTTTGAAAATCACTAGTTATTCTAACTATATGTATTATGTAAAAGATAGAGGGTCAAGGAAAGTGGAACTTGTAATAAGCGCAATAATGTTATAGCGTAACCAACCTAAGACTGAAGGTCAACCAGTTTTCTAAAAAAGAAGTTCTTAAATGTATTGCACAAAATTAAATATTAGAAAAAGAAAAAATATGTCCAAAAAAAGACAGTATGAATAAGCATGGGACAAGGATGTTTTAGTGATGTTTCATTAATTAATAACATATTTCATTAAAAGAAGGGATCAAGTTTTTTCCCATTTCTTTCTTGTTTAACTTGTACTGATTGCCAGGTAGATTTTATATTTTCGCTTTAAATGCTTAGCTTGCTCTGATCGAAGTTAATATAAATTTCTCACTTTTGAATTACATATTTACAAGGTTTGTTTTTTACATATTTTAGCTATTTTTATAACAGATCTTTACATAACTGACCTTCCCATCTTTTATTCTAACTTGACTGTTTCTGTACATGTAAGATATTTTGATCAGTTATAACTTGGCTCTACATTTGATATCACCACTTTTTCTTTTGACAAGCAATATCACCTACTTCTATTATTCTACGGATGTTAAGGAGATGTAAAGATTGCACCTCATGGAACAGTAGTTTATATATCTACTTATATTTTACGCAAAAGGCAAAATAACATAACATATAATATTAAAGGACAGCCAGGGACCTTTTGCTCCATCTAGGCCGTTCTATCAAAGCCAGCCCTTATCATTCAAATATCTATCAAGCTCTTCCTTAAACTCATTTAAATTAACTGCATCTGCTACATCTGAAGACAACCCTTTCCAAAGAACAACCACCTTGTTAGTAAAGTAAAGTTGACTTAGCTGAAGATGATTCCTACCCTACCAAAATTTATACTTGTGTCCACTAGTTTCATCATTAAATAGAATAAAAGATGATGCTTCATTAACAATTTCCTTAACAATCTTAAACACCTCAATCAGATCTCCTCTAACTCTTCTTTTTTCAAAAGAAAACAAGTTGAAAGATCTTAACCTATCCTTGTATGATAACCTTTTCATCTAGAGTATCATTCTAGAAACCCTTTTCTAAACCATTTTCAACAATTCAATGTTTTCTCTGAAGTAAGGAGGCCAAGACTGAACACAATACTTTAAATGTGGCGTAGCCAATGACCTATACAATAGTATTATAACCTGTTTAGACTTGTATTCATCATTTCAACCTAATATCCTATCTGTCCCTTTTTAGTTCTCCATCCTTGTTAAACAACCAATAGCCCTGTACTTCAAAGAAATTCTGTAATCAAAATTGTCTACATTTAGCCAGGTCGCAGTTATTCCCATTATATCAAAATCCTCTGTTTCGACAAGTGTTGTAATGTCATCCATTTTATTTCTTATACATCTTGCATTACAATACTAACAGTTTAGCCTACCCTTAAAATTACCTTTGTACCTAGTTCCCACACTATACCTCTCTCGACATATTTCTCATTAATTTTTTGACCCTTTTCACTGTCTAATCCTAGTTACAGTTGAGTTAATAGTCCTTACAAAGAAGCTAGTCCTTACCCTATTTAAATGTAAATCATCCATTCTAAACACTCTTTTCTCACACAGAACTGATCCCATAAATCCAACCAGCTAACCCGCTTTTTCTTACATGTTAACATAATCCTAGTATTTAGCCCTTGTGACCAAGTTGTAATTTTATCCTCACAGTTAAGTCTTGGCAATATTCCTGACAGAATTAAGTTATTATGGCTCTTTTCTTTGAATGATTTTAATAATGCCTTGTACTTAACAATAATGTCTTCTGACCTACCCCTCCCTACATCATTAGCTCGTATGTACACTAAGAAGACTGCATCACTACTAACACCTTTTACTATATCATTTGCTCTGTCGGTTATATCCTCCACTACCGCCCCTGGATAGCATAATCTAATTCTTTTCTCTTTATTTATCCCAAGAATTATTCTATTCACGTGCCACACTAGAAAATTTCTTATAACAATAACCTCATGCTTTTCATTCCCATCTCTATCCGTCCCTTTTCTTATCCTTCACTTCTAAATTCATCAAATGCCTTAGCCAAAGGCTGAAATCGGTTACTTACTAAAATCTGCTGATTATAATTAAATCCACTACTACTGGCCCTATTAGTACTGTTTTTAACAACATTAAAAAGATTATTAGACACATCTTGAGTAGATAGGATAGTTTTTGTTCGTGTCACACGACAACACTATGTAGTTTCCGCTATGTCTACTTTCTTGATATTCCAATAAATGTACGTTTTACTACTTTGTTATTGTCGAGGAGACTATGGATAAATAAGCAAAGAAAATGGAAAAATTAATATGAGTAACTGAGTGGTTCAAGTAATAAAGAATAACTTTGAAATTCATCTTATGTCCTTTGTTGAAAATCTCAGTCATTAGTGTTGTGCAAAATTGTATAGCAAGTGATTTATGGCTAATGTAAACGATACTAATTATTACAAGATCACACACTATGCGTTACTTTGTTGTTTTTAGCGCACAGCTATCTCTACGCTGTCTACCGCGGGGATACAGCCCCTCAATTTTGGCATTGTAAAACTTACTGTTGACCCACCGGGGGACAACTATATGTTAGAAACGAAACTACCACACCTGACCAATATTTTTTCACTTATATACTGTGCATGGAAACTAAAAGTTTTGTCCATTTATTGGTCCTACAAGGGAAACTAAAATCATTTTTTTCTATATCAAAAAATAATAAATGATTACTAAATGAACAGACATTTTTATTCACTGTGTTGTTTATTTAGTAAACGTATTTTCAAGAATAAATGGGCTTAACTTTTATCTTGAATAAACCTTAACAACGGAATTGAAGGAACAGCTGCTTGAATAATACTGTTACGTCTCCGTTTGTTAATTGATTTTGAGTAACTTCGTTCCGACGAAACTTAAGCGACACATGTCCTTTCTTAATAAAACTGGTTTATTCTTTCCGAATATAACTTTACCGATACACTCAACTTCAACAATCGCGCTAAACAAACGCTATAACGTCTCTCGTACTCTCTGACTGCAGTTCAATTACTCACTCTCTACACACACATTACATTACCTTCTTTTATATACC